TCATGACATTATTTGACTTTTGACAAAGACAGAATGGTTCACAAGTTTTCATTCTTAGACTTTCAAAAGGGTTGAGCTTCACGCTTACTGTGAAGATATCCAAGTCTCCTGAAGCAATTTTGGTTTGACCTTCTATTATGAATTCAAATCTGAGTGCTAGCACCTCAAACTATCAAAATGGACTTTCTAAGAAGTTGAAGACATCACTTAACTGAAGCAGTGATCCTAACATTCTCAGACACTTTCAGAGCTTCTCATCACAAAAAGATCATTAAGGTCCTATTTTGACCATTAAGGTCCTACAATGGGCTTGTTTCAAAAATCACTAAAAGACTTCAAAGTCACACACTTAACAGTGATAAAGATGACTAAAGTAAGGTTTAAAATAGGTCATTTATGAAATCTAGCTACATAAACAAACTAGTAAAAATATTAATGACTATTTTTAGATATCCATCTGTCTCAATTGGTATTAATTCAATAATACCAAGAATCTATGACACAAAATCAAACTGATAGAGGGGAAGTATCTCTGGAAATCCTAACATCCATGTCCTACTTTTGTTTGGCAGAAGTTGTCTTCAATTAACTTACTTTCAAGATCCCCCAAAAAGTACTAAAAGCAAACAACTTTAAAAATATTTACCAGGAAGCTAGTCTTCACACTGGAAAAAAATAAAGACCATATTGCTAGGAACTAGATTTCCAATACAACATTAATCTTGAGAGTAAATTCAGAAACCTTCAAATTATTATTTACTTTGCCATGAAATTTTGAGCAAATTCAGCTTAATGCCCTATATGTAAAAGCTTTCGTATGCCAGAACCACACTCTACTACCAAGATATGGAAGAAAAAAGCAATATCATTAGTTTCAATCACTCAATTTCTCATACCTCAAACAGCAAATATTAAAGCTTCGACCAAAAGCTAGTTGCAGTTAATAGAAGGCTTTATGCTACCTTCATAGTAGTCTGGTGGATTTTGTTGTTGTTAACTGAAAAGTTGTTAACTGTCACTGCAGTTGGAAGTAGCAGAAACATACCTTCATTTCACATTTTAATATAAATAAACATAAGTATTACCTTCCCTGGAAAATCTTTTTTGCTAGCATTTTTCTGCTCTTGGATTGGATGTACCAATGAAGGCAACCATCTTGGCAGATACACAATAACCAAACGTGAGATGTGTATCACTCAGTGTTACAGGATGTGTTAAGTGCCACCCCTATCCTGAACATTCCTCCTCAGAAAGTCGGAGTATCTGAAGAAGGACTAGGTCTTTCCAGTCTTTCCTGTTTTAACATTTAGCAAAACAAAAAGTTATGTTCGTCACAATCCAACAGTTTTGAAAAGAATACCACTTTCTCAGTTAGGAATAGTAAACAAAATAAACGGAGTAGATATCCTCTCTTTCCATCCTGAAGGGAACAATAAATATTAAAAAGGATATTTGATCCTCCAGAGATAAAAACCTCCATGAAATTTAATACCTAAAGATTATTCTGTTCTTGCCCCAGAGAACTTTATCTTCAAGCAAATGCACATAATTTTAAATTGCTCTGTCAGTTACACAAATAAAGACTAACAAAGAAGTACTTAATCAAGGTGCTAGTGGGATGCTAAGAAATCTCACAAAACTCACAAATCATCAGTTGTAACTAGCTACACTTCTAACTAGTACAACATGCAATTCCATTCAGATATAGTTGCACAGGGGCTGAAGCACAGTTGGAAGGTGGCTTACCAACAGCAAGAAAGAAAAAGCACAAAGTCATCCAATCATTTTCTGGTCTTTTTTATTATTCCTAACTAAATGGTTACTGCAGCATCAAATGGTTTTCATTTGTTCATCAACTTGTAAATAAAATATTTCAGCAAGTAACTATTTACAAAGGTAGCAGTAACACCATGTATGATCCCTCAATCCCACCCCAATCTTCTGGAGCCTTTTGCATGAACAGCTCAGGGGCAGACAAGTAGCACTATGCTGCATTTTATTTAAACACAAATCTTACTGTTTTTAGAACCGTTTTTAAAATCATTTGACTCAATCAATTCCTTCAGTTTCCATGTTTTCCCAAAGACCAAAGAAAAACATAACACACACAATTCAGGCTGGATGGGGAAAGCTGATGTATCTGCAGGTGTCCCTGCAGAGGGGTTGGGCAAGATGACCTTTGAAGGTCCCTTCCAACTAAAAAGATTCTATGATTCATGAATTCCATCTCAGCATGATGTCTTAAAGATGCCAACTCACAATGCTGGTCTTGGAGAAAGAGCTTGCTCAAGATAGGTCACTTCAGAGACCACTATTCTACACCACTAGAAATGCATGCAGTAAACTTCCTTACAGAAAATCATTTCACAATGTTGAAGAACTCAAAAATCACATACTAAGAAAAAAAAAAATCACAGAATCACAGAATCAACAAGGTTGGAAAAGACCTTCAAGATCATCCAGTCCAACCATCCACCTATCACCAATAGTTCTCACTAAACCATGTCCCTCAACACAAAATCCAAACGTTCCTTGAACACCTCCAGGGTTGGTGATTCCACCACCTCCCTGGGCAGCCCATTCCAGTGCCTGACCACTCTTTGAGAGAAGTAGTATTTCCTAACGTCCAGCCTAAATCTCCTCTGGTGCAGCTTGAAGCCATTCCTCTAGTCCTATCATCAGTTACATGAGAGAAGAGGCCGACCCCCAGCTCACTGCAACCTCCCTTCAGATAGTTATAGAGAGCAATAAGGTCTCCTCCAAGCCTCCTCTTCTCCAGACTGAACAATCCCAGCTCCTTCAGCCACTCCTCATAAGACCAGCTTTTAAATGCTCCTTTAAGGTTCATTTTTACTTGAGCTTTGAAAAGATTCTACTATTTAGCTTTCTTTCTTAAGGTGCCCTCTCTGAAAGTGTATTTTTTTTTAATGCAGTTGGACCACGAGTTCAGGCCTTAAAGTTCCTTCATCCAATAGTCATCAACTTGATTATTTTTAATATATTTGGTACAGCTGACTACACACAAACTTGGCTGGTTGCTATGACTGCCTCCCACAGTCTCTGGAATAACCATTTACTTGGACTGTTTTACTTTTTACTTTCTGCATTCCTGGTCTCAATTTTCAACTTAAGACTACTCCCAGCATGATTCAAATTATAATATAAAGTTCGTGTTCAGATCAACTTCAGTAAACATGAACAACTTAGGCTCAAACATTCAGGAAGTCATAAAATTTGGTATGCAGGAATCTTTTCAAGGCTTTCAAAACTAGGTTACAACAAGATATTATGGAACGGTTTTAGAACAGCTCATAAAAATCTTATTTTCTGGTTTGCTGTCAATGGGGTCATATTAGTGCCATCAATAAATACATGTATTTCCCTTTTATTTTCTGACTTACAGAAACAGATAAATCTCATTTAATCATCAGCAATGAGACATCTGGAAACTCATATGGCTTTCCAACCAACTTAAAAACCTATAGGAGCTAGAAAGCTCCCACAATCCACCTACCATCCCTTCTAAAAACCTTGTTCTAGCTCAAATATTTTATTAATTTAAAATAAACTGCAGAAACGTTATGAAAAGGCAAGTAAGCCATGGCCTATTAACACATATTCAGCAAACATCTGTAATAAAAGCACATGTATTATTGTTGTTTTTTCAGCTGAGAACAAACAAGATAAGAACAGTTGCTCTTGATACATAACCAAAGGAATCAGGGGAATGAATTGTCCCACACCTCTATGGGAACAGATATTTTCAGTAAGTCCCTAAAGTAAAAAAAAAAAAAAAAAAAAAAAAAAAAAAAAAAAAAAAGAGAGAGAGAGAGAGAGATAAACAAAGGTAAAGGAATTCATAGACTTGAGTTAATACTCATCTAGGGATATTTTTGCCACTCCATCACTGGATTTAAGCTGAGACTGTGTTTAACAAAATGTGCATTCAGCTCTTAGTATTCTTTCACATGTCATTCTACTGCATTGAATCTATTTATAGCTCTGCTAAGACTGTAACAACACTGTGCTCTCTTACAAGGTTCTCAATGATGTTAATTTTTGGGGTTTTTTTGTTTGGTTTTTATAAATAAGTTTGGTTTGCTTTAATGTGGGTTGATTTTTTTTTTTTTTTCAATAAATGCATGGATAAGGTAGATGTCAAGCCTAAGTTTTTGCACCATGCCATACAACATCATACAACATCCAAATAACCATCATTCTTCCATGCCTAACCACTGAAAACCAAGAAGCTTCAAGAACCTTGAAAATGAGTATCTTTTCCGGTATCAATGAGGACTAAATGTGCTTACAGTTCAAAGTGCTCATCCGGAAAGAAAAAATTAAAAAGGGGGGGAGGAGGGAGTGAAATTAGGCTCAAAGAACTACAGCAGAAAAGAAAGATTATAAGGATGGAACAGAAGTACAAAAGCAGGTGCTTCAAACAAGTTTAGAAGAGCCCCGAAAACCCCTGTACCTTCATTTACGCATAGCACCAGGTTTTTATTTTGCTAAAGATCTCATACCTACACAAAGAAATACAAATGCTGGTAAATACAAAAACTTTCATCATACTATTTATCTTGCAATTATCATAGAATTACTAAATGCTACTAAAAGCATCACAGTAGACAGTGTGCTATATGAGCTGGCAGCTGTTGGTAAGCATATGTCAGTATCTCGTAACTGAAAACCACCTTCCCATATTCAAATGACTCGAATTATTTTCAATTTCTTTCACATTATTCAACAATTTTTCACAGCACTGTTATGCTTTCATATCTTCACATTTCACTGATAAGAAATTACTATTTGCCATTTTCTTCTTAAAAGAAGCAATTTCTCATTCTCAAAACAAAATCCATGAACATTGGCAGTAAGTACAAAGACTAGTTACAGTATCCTTAAGCCTTAACTTCAAAACAAAAAAAAAAAGTTAGATTAAAAATTAATTCTGGGAGCAGTTTTTGCTAAGTGTGATGATGTCACTGTGGACTACTCACCTCCCACATGAGCCTGCAGTCTGTGTTCTCATCCAGTTCCTGAGGCATTCGCTTCTCCCCTGCAAAGGGGCCAAATTTTTCACCCTAAGAAATGATTATTAAAGAAAATGAATCAGTGGACACATGGACACACACACACACACAAAAAAAAATAAAATAAATAGCCAGTGAATTTCCAAGCTCCAGCAGAGGTCTCAATTTTAGCTTCAAGTGGAAAAGGGCAATTTTCCTTTGGAAACCCACTATCTGACAGAAACATGCACAACACTGTGAGTTCAACTTCAAGCTCATTCACACTCTTTTTACAGCTTGGTGAATCTCCTGAAACCATATTTCCTCTTCACACTTAATTTCCAATTTTGCAAATAGCATTTTTTCAGATTTTAAATAAGGGTTATATTTACAAGTCAGATTTCTTCTAGGATTCTCAGGAATCACCTTGCAGTAGACATCCTACTAAATGCAAAGTATCTGACATCTGGTAAGCACAAAGCTTTCATTAGATTTATTTGCAGGATTATTTGCAACGCTACTTTTTGAAGTGCCACAAATCAAATCACTAAATAGTTTTGAGGTTTTGAACACACAGAGGGATTTATTTTAAAAAGTAGGAGTATGCACACTTCTGTGAATTAATTCAAGCCTTCAAAAACAGAATTAAAATGTTCTAACACCTGCTAGCGCTAACACATACTGTGAAAACATCCACTGTTATGTCCTTCCAAATGTCTCAGGGTTTGGTGTTCAGTGTTTTGGTTTTTTTCTTTTTTCCTTTCCAGATGTCATGTCAGTAGCAGGGTAAATTCTATACCCAGTGCTTATATAGGTCCAACGTTTTTTTCCACTTGTTCTTATTTGCAATCATAAACCATACAAACTGGAATGCAGAATACTACTTTCCTTTAGGCAGTATTGAAATAGAAAGGCTCTAATATACTTTAAGGCATTACAAGTTATAACTACACAATAAGAAACAAATTTGTTTCATCTTCACAACATTTTGGCTAATAAAAGGATCCATCTTCTCTGAAAATATCCTCCCGCAGGCACATTCCACAATCCTAGGAACAGTCTGCTGCATATTTGCCCTCTTCCTTCCTTCCTTGCCAGTGTGTACAGTGTCAATGAAGAAGTGGCATGGAAGACCTACAGGATGATTCCTCCTAGAAACAACCAACTGAATTAAAAAAAAAAAAAAATGAAATCTGAGGAGGTAACAAAAAAAAAACAAAGTAGGCATTGAATAATAATGACACAGAACTCAGAAGCAATAGTTTGAAATGTGCTCAACAAAGATATCATTAGAAAGACCAGCAAATAAAGGAGCTAAAAAGACAAGAGCACCAGAGAAAAACTGGAGCCCAAATCATAAATGGGGACGCAAACATGGGCAGGGTTAGCAAATATTAGCAGGGATAGCAAATATTGGCACTGCGAGGCTTCAGCTCCTTCACTTCCCTCTGTTTTCCATTCCAGCTAATCATAAGAAGTCAATGGTCCTCTCCTGTCAGCTTACAAATCCTAGGATTTAACGTTCAAACTGATATTCCCTTCTTCTTTCACTCCATTTGCAATGAAGGTGAAATTTGGTCAGTACAATTACCTATGCACAGCCACCAATGTCCTCATCTTCTCCCGAATGCCCTCCAGAAGCACAGCACTGTCTAACAGGGGCCATGCAGATGTTACAAGGGGGGCAATTTGCTGTGTTGTTCTCTTAGGTTAAGGAAGAAGTCAAGATAAGAGCAGAGTCATTCTGTTCTAGAGCTGTATGGTCCTTTCTAGGGTCAGAGAAGATAAGGTAGGCCCTTCTGGAGAAGATATCGCATGCCAATCTGAACTTGCTTTTCCCACATTTTTACAAAGCATCAAGTAGTTTTAGTGCAGAAAGGAAAATAGCTCACTACAACTGCTGAGCTCTGAAGAAGGGCATAATTGCATCTGCAGAATCTCCGGTTACTTGTAGCAATTATCAAGATGAAAAGAACTATTGTTTGACTATAATATGGATTACTTCTCTTCTATGGAAAGAAAAAGATAAATTCTCCATAAATTTAATACAGAAATAATTTAAGCACATAATGAATACAGAACTTTCAATAACTAGTCTCCCAGACTCACTTCAGCAGCAGAATAACACTTCAGTGAGCAGAAAGTGATGAATTCATTCCTTAACTACTTTGGAAGTTTCCACAACCCTCACCTCAGTAATACTTTCATCCTCATAACTGAAAAGATGCCTAGCTACCAGATAAAGCACCTACAGGATTAATTTTACCCATCACTGAACCCCGCATCGCCTCTGGGGTGAAACACAGCAACAGCCTAGTAGTGCGTGCTGACTGAAAACATGAAACACCATATGTCATTCCTAGCTCAACTACTCCAAGGTAATAAACCTCTACTGCAATATGTTTGAGTCCTTCTGGAAGCTCAGAACAATAGAGAAAGCAAAAGGCAAGATGCCCACCTCTAATATACAGAGAATGTAACGTGAACTGGAGATGATTCAAACTTCCAAGTGCTTTTTACGGCTCCTCAAACTTGGACAGAAAGCAGAAATTAGAAACACAAAACCTGGGATCTAACAACACAAAGGCCCATAGGGATAAGCACCATTATTAATTCAGCCTTAAAGATGATCTTTTTTTCCAATACATCAATTAGTCCTAGCCAATAAGCACGCTGTCATACTGAAGATATAGATCAGAAACATAGTAAAACTTCCTCACAGATCAATAAAGCAGTCTGAAGTTATGAAAGGCACATCATTCAAAAAAAGCTGCTCTTCAGAATGTGACAAATCTTGTTCCGATCTCAGCAGAACACTGAGAAATGCAATAGCTCTCATTATTATACCAGGGGTCTTATCATACTGGTGCTGCAGCCAAACTCCAGATGCTGGAGAAAAAAAAATTACAAGAAAATGACAGCTTTTATAAAGGTCACAAAACAAACCAAACAGATTTCACTTTTTCACCTTCAGACAAAAAAAAAAAAAAAAAAATTAAAAATTGGAAACATAGCATAAAGCCTGAAGGCACAAAGGCAGATGGTAGGTAACAGCAGTTCAAAACATACCGTTTCCAAAATTTTGCAAACACTTTAATATTCAGAGTATTCTTCATGAGTATTTTACATTTGGACAGTTGTTACTGCAATTTCTGATATAAGATCATCTGAAGTGTGTTTGACTTTCAAATATCCTATTCATAGGAAATAAAAGAATTACAGAATGGCCCAGGTTGGAAGAGACTTCAAGGATCACGAATCTCCAACCTCCCCGCTGCTTGCAGGGCCACCAACCTCCACATTTAATACCAGACCAGGCTGCTCAGGGTCCCATCCAGTCTGGCCTTGAACACCTCCAAGGGACGGGGCATCCACAACCTCTCTGGGCAGCCTGTGCCAGCACCTCACCACTCTCTCTGTAAAGAACTTTCCACTGACATCCAACCAAAATCTTCCTTCCCTCAACTTAAAACCACTTTCCCTTGTCCTGCCATTATCTACCCTTGTAAAGAGTTGACTCCCTTCCCGCTTATAAGCTCCCTTTAGACACTGAAAAGCTGCAGTGAGGTAACTCCACAGCCTTCTTTTATCCAGGCTGGGGCGCAGCTCAAGAACACAGATTTTATTTTTCAATCAGTGTCATATTCAGCAACTACTCTCAGTCTCAGAGTTCCAAAGAATTAATTACCAATTAATTACTTGTTTGACAGCTGTTAACTACTCTGTATCAAAGCCATGAAGCATAGTACTGCTGCCTCACTCATGACTGGGCAGGGGCAAAGTTGAAAGCACTTCAGATGTGATTTTTTTTCCATGGGAAAAAAGTAACACACAGCCTGGTAATATCCAGTGTATTATTTGTGCTTTTTATACATCTACTGTTCTCTGAACAGCTGAGGCCACACATTGTGCTTAGTTCTTTAACCATTTTTAGGAATTCTTGTTCTAAACAACGCCCAGTTTTCATAGGGCAACTCAGAAGCTGATTCCTCATCTTGCTGAGAAGCAAAGTCAGGCACATAGTTCTGACCAGGGCTTTGCATACCACATCTGTTGGTGCTAAAAGCACAGAGGATTCAATGCCAAACAAAAACCAAATCCACAATAAGCACTTCGCAACATGCTCCTAAAACTCTGAAAGATCTTACAGTCAGTGTCTCTGCCTTTCCTTTCTGCTTTTCACATGCAGTACACGTCCCACTGGCAACTTGTGGGTTTTGCTAGGACGTCCTGAACAAGGAGCTCACACTGACACAGCTGTGCAGGCAGAGCTCTGACAGCATATACCTCCTCTGTAAAAAAAAAAAAAAACAATTCAGAAACGATATGGAGCAGTTCTAGCAAGAAAAAAGATCTACTTTTCCTAGCATGCAGATCTAAGGGCTTGATTTAGAACAGTATAAAGGAAGAGGATTCAGACTTTCAGCTGATACTGACACGCAGATATTAATTTTGGTCACTTTCACTCTCGAGTTCATTCCATTTCAGAGTCCAGGGATGCATGTGCAATAGCAGTCTACAACTTTCCTTCATGTGTGAATTCCCAAAGGTTTAATATGAGCATTCAGACCGTCAGTGGAAAAAAAAAGCCATTAAGCCAACCGATAAAAACCCCTATCCCCTTCTCCTCCTTTTATCCCTAAAGGAGGCCTCAGAGATGAGGCACATCTACCCTACGGTGTTTAAGCCCGGTGGACACTGCAACACCTGGCAGTCCTCCCAACCAAGTCAGCACCAAAACCTGGCCAAAGATGTAAAGCAAGACATTTACAGTAAGTAGAAGTGCACAGAAATGCAGGGTTCACAACTTCAGGTATGCCTCTAGCGGTTGAAACAAGTTGTTTAAACGTGTCAACTGAGCAGTTTTAATAGGGACTCCAAACGATTAAGAGGTTTTCCCTTCAGTCACTGAGCACAAGGAGCCACGTCCTGTTTGGGACAGGAGGGATTTCGGGTAGCTGCAGTCAGGGGGATCACACCCTCCCCAGTTCTGGGGACGCGGCCCCGTAGCGAGGAATTAACCCTTCGCCCGCCGGGCTGCAGCGACTCGGATGAGGCAGGAGCCTGCGCAC